CGCGGTGTCGAGCGCCGAGCTATCGAGCACCGCCAGCCCGCGGGGCCGCGCGCCGAGCCATCGAGCACCGTCCGCACCACCAGGGCGCGGGGCGGGGCGCCAAGACATCGAGCCTTCGGGCCCCGCCCACAGGACAGGCAGGCCCCGCCCCCGCCGTCGCCGTCGCAGCGCTGTTCTTTCATGTATAGTTTTCCACATAAAATAACCAATAAACGTCCCGTTGGTGCATTTCCTAGCGGGGGGCGGGGGTCTACCAGCCGGTGGCTCTGCAGGGCCTGAGGCTGCCTAGTCACAGGTTTGTCTTCGCAGGTGGCGGAGGCCGCGCAGGGTGAGGGTGAGGGTCAGCCCAAGGCGGGAGCTGCGTACCCACCACGCGCCGGCTGTCCAGGCGACACGGCAGCACCCACGGCACGCGGACACCGGGTAAGGCAGCAGTTGAAGGTTTCCTTTGTCCTTGGTCTTTCAGTGCAGGAGTCGACGTTTCTTTTATGTTAGTCTCGGGCCTGCTCCAAAGGGTGCTGGTTGGGCGCAGGCCCGAGGGCCGTTTCCTCAGCTGAGCGCAGGGCTGTTCTGGCAGCGCCCTCCTTCCCCCAGCCGCGCCGTACGCATGGGAGGCAGCCGCACCTGCGCTTTCACTGGGCTTGTACCCCATTTCTGCTGACGGATAGAGGACGCAACCCCGCGCTGAGCGTGTGCAAGTGACATGTCCCTGTCATTTCTGCTGCAGTGTCCCCACTTCAGCCCCCTTGCCACATACAGGCAGCCCTCCGACTTGTGACACAATTGGGTCCTGAAAACCGCGTCTTAAGTCAAAACGTTGTAACTCGGAACCAATTTTCCCATAGGAAATGATGTTATAAATGGGGGATTGGCTCCTGAACCAAGGTCCGATACCCTATTTTCACCAACAATAACCCAGAATTTTGTACGCAGTCAAATACAGATGAGTAATATACAGCTACGGCAGGCGCTTCCAGTTTTGATTTTACCTTATAAGCCGGCATGCCGGTTTGTAAGGTGCCAGATAATGCAACTTTTCTTATAGCTACATTAATGTATTTATATTGTAAATAGCTATCCTATTGATACGGAAGGACTTGGTTCAGGTGACTTTGCTGGACTCTTTGAAGGGCTCTTGGTTGGACTTTTTGACAGGCTCTTGGCTGGAGTCTTCTCAGGAGTCTTGGCTGCAGGTTTTTCTGGAGTCTCGTCTGCTTTCTTAAAGAAAGTGTCCAAGGAAGTTTGGACAGATGTTCTCCATGGAAATGGGCAACACAGCAAACTTGTTCGCTGGTGTGGCATGGCGTCATATCAGATCAAGCATTGTAAAGTCTAAACTAACGTCAGAAAGTTGAAACAGGGTGTCAGTTTATAAACTTAAGTGTGAAACGTTGCAACTCAAAACGTTGTAAGTCGAGGACTGCCTGTACACAGGGCCATCAGCCCACTTACCTTAGAGGAGCGAAGTGGATTCATAACTTGGTAGTTAAGGCGGCCAATATTTGGATTTGGAAGAAGTTTAGTCCAGACTCATGTGGATCTGATGCCGATACTACTAAGTTATGGAGTGGAGGAAACCAGGCGGAACAGCAGGGAGGATTCTCATCTTCCGTGCTGAGCCACACGTTCACTTCCAGGTACAATTCAAGGTGTTGGCTTAGATCTACAGCAGTCTGTGTAGTTTGACTCTTAAGAGATTGCCACTTCTCCAGGTACTACCACAATGCAGAAAGATCTCAAAGTGAAGTAGTAAATGGCTCCCAACTGTGCAATCAATGCCCCTGCCTTCCTTTTACCGATTAAACCTTTTATTGGCTCTTAGTGTTTGAGATAAGACCTGTTCATTTCTTTTACATGCCTTTTGCAAAGGAGAGGAGAAATTTGGATGAGTCAATGTGCAATGTAATTTGGGAGCAGAGGAAATCTTGTTGAAAAGTTATCTATGCTAAATATCATGTGTGCACAAAGTGTTATGTATGTTTAAAGTCATCCAAAAAGATTTGGTAGAAGAATTTAACTCCTGCTATTTAATGGTATTGGATGGTTAAAAGGCCCTCCAGGAAAGTTATTTTTTGTTAAATTGTGTAGATTGAATAATCTCTACAGTAATATATCAATTCCTTACATGCACTGGGTATATTTTTTTACATTAATGAATACAACATGCAACCACATACTTCAGTTTTGTCTTTTAAATTGCAATGAGGTTCATACACTACAGCTAGGATGTGTATATCTCCTTAGTTACCACCAACTGTTCATGGCACTCCTGAGTCAGGCAGATCTGGCTCCCTGCTCTATATTATTTTCTATACAGTGAATTCAAAAGGTATACAGAATGTACTTGGTACATACAACTAGCAGCTAGAGCTGACTAGTAACAGAGCTAGCAGGAGCAGGAATAGGGCTCCTAGAACATGGATGATAGTTATTGATTACCAGTTGATCAATTAGGTAGAGAGGCTGAGAGAATGGGGTCTTGGTCCCAGCTGTATTACTGACTCACTCCATGGTCTTGGTTACATCACCTTGAGCATCTCCATCAAAAATGGCCAATCTGATACCAAGAATTGTTGAGTTCCCATAGCTGAAGTTACTGGAAACGACACACAGTTACAGGTGTTCAGCAACTTCAGAGCATTATTTTTACATATAAAAAACAGGCATCTGAGGTTAGATTTAATATTTCTGTTACAGATGCCTAAAAGGATAGTTTGAAAGGATGGGCTTTAACCAGTCTCATATTCCTTAACTGTAACATGAGGACAATACATCTGTCAAGCTCACAAGGTTATTGCATTAATTAAAAGTTAGTGAAACGCTCTGAACATGCAGCATAGCACTATTAGTATGAGATTTATCATGGATGTTTGGCTTAAAAATATCAAATTTATCTTGGAAAATAATCTTGCTGTCCAGCCTTTCCGGTTGCTATTTGTACCCATTTATTTACTCCTTTGTTTATAGTGAAGAAAGGTGTGATGGTCAAAATCCAGCTGGAAATGTATTTGAAGTTTTTAAGAAAATAATTTCACACTTTAAAATGTGGATCACAGATATGTCAGTGTTAATCATCACCCAAGTGACTCACCTTTGTTTTAGGATTTCCAGTGGTATCTGTTTTTCTCTCACAAAACAGAGAGTTTGCTTCAATCTCCTAGCCTGCTTTGAGTTGCTCCCTTTTTGGCTGCATCTGCAGCGATTAGTCTAGGAAAAAATGATCCCAAGGAAGAGATACATGGGAGTTTTCCCAGAGCTGTTCTTCATAACAAAACACCATTGCTCTTTAATAAATAATGGAACAAGAGTTTTTTGATCTCATTTGTTACATTGCACAACCCCTAGAGCTAGAATCCTGATGCATATTTGGCATGTTATATTAATAGAGCTGTACCACAAGCTTACTGTTACTATGGGGGTGTAGAGAGATCTGGTGATTCAGAAGGGGTTTTACTACTACGATAAGTTACTCTTGGAAATAATAAACACTACCATTGCTGAAATGTTACTATCATCATGTCTCAGCATGTTCTTGCATCCAGAAACATAACGTTACACTGTTTTCATCACTGACTTGCCTTTCTCCAACAAACTGAGAATTTAATGTGTTCTATTATTCAATATTTCCTTTGCCAAATTTATGAGAGTCAACTCCCATGATCTGTGAAGCAACCTAGTCTCACATCTTCCTGCCTGGATCTCCAAAGGTGGTGATGACTGATTAGTGACTAGACATGGGTTCTAGGTTCTTAGGAAGTGTTAGAGAGGAAGGCAGGCTGGCAAGTAATCCACTAAAGAAAGAAAGAACAGGCTTCACACTTCCAGATACATTTATTTTAAATAATATTCTTTCCTTATAAAGCAGCACTTCAAACACATTCTTCTTACAGCTGTTACGAATAGTGTCTTTGGCATTTTCTTCCTATAACTATCTTATAGAACATCTGGTACAAAAAATGTAGATATACAGAAAAATAAGCATATAAACCACAGATTAATCCCAAAAGTATTAAATAACATACCAAAAACTTTATCAAATCTGTTTCATACACTAACGGACAAAACCTTGTTGTGTATGTGCATAATGTTCTATGTACATGTTTGCAGCTTCGTTAAATTAGTGCTTCAAGGTTATCAAGGAAAATGTACAAAAAAATAGGCGCACAACTGCAATATTACTAGAATTTCTCACTATTTGTGTAGTTTACAATGTATACAATACATTGCATTTAAAAAAAACCTTTGCCTGAATATGCAAATCAAATACACTCACTTTTGCCTCTTTGCAAATAAAGTTTGCAGCTAAACAGGATTTGATATAATTACGCAATAAAGTCACTTCAAGATTTCATGAAATTAAGAACTCAATACTATGATTATTCCCTTTATAAAAATACACCTAAAAAAACCAAGGGCATCATGCACATCAAAACTTGAAATATTAAAGTCCAACAGCAAAGTGTCACATCCTTTTCAGTTGCACTGAACTTATCATTCATCCCAAAGCAGCATTATGATGGTGAGCAAGCTCTAAAATAAGATTTTTCTTATTTTGTCTATGTAAGTGTGATACATATGCAGAGTATGCTCAACTATTAAAAACAAGAGTTCTTGTGTTCAACACTCCTTGTGAGGAGATTCCACTCTGTTTTTGCCCATGTCAGATTCAGGAAATTTTACAGCTGTTTCGTGTATAGTTTTTGGGTGGGCTCTGTAGTGGACGGATAATTTTAGCTTTCTTTAGGCTGTTCCTCTTGTTGTTGCTCGAAGTAAGAGAGTAGGAGCGTCCATGCATCATCCTGGCATTAAGACCATTGGCCATAGAGAAAGATTTGAGATGGCTTCTTAAGGCAACAGGGAGAGGCAGCTTGTCAACAAGATGCACAGGTGTACAGGAAACTATGGCACGGCAACAAAGATCTTGCAGACTTAGTACTTAAAGAAAAATTAAAGAAAAAGCACCTTATAATAGCATATTTAACAGCCACATGGTGGCAGCATATACAATATCGTGAATGCACACCACTCTAATGAATCCTCGTTTTCTTCCTCCCTACAGTTCTTTCCACTCCACCCCGATAGAAAATATTTTGTCAATTATTCTGTAAAGCAGGTCACAGTTTAAGGCCTATACCTGCAAGGTCTACAAACAGACTTTTCGTTGGCTCCAGGGCCATATAGAGCGTTTCCAGGATTGCCCCTCCCATTTATCAAGGTTGAACAGGGCAAGGACAATATCATGAATGGTCCTAAATGACTTGGGTACGCTTATTGTCATTCTGAAGAATTATCTGAAAGTTTGAGCCTCACTTAAAAAGTCAACGTTGTTATTTAATCTATGACTTCAGGGAATATTCCCTCATTCAAACTCAAAAAGCAAGTAATTCTGGTTAAAGTAACTTGCACTGTGCACTTTAAAAAGACCATTTAAATAAGCACTTTAAAATAATCTATATTAGCTGCATATTAATTGCTCCAAGAAGTAAATACATTTTACTGGAACAAATCCATTTTTTGGTAATTAGCAAGCCAAAGACAGAGTGCTAGAAGTCATTTACAGTTTTGTTTCTCCTTCCCTCCCTCCCTCCCCCAGAATGCTTTATAAAACAATAGAAGACCACACACAGTACAAAATCCCAAGAACTAGGCAATTAAAGATTCACTGCTACCACAACTCTTCCCAGAATAGCAAAAAGTGCTGTTACTGGAAACTGGCTCCATAGCCAATTCCTACATCTCCAATTTTTTTTTCAGAGTTCAGAGAATTTGGGGTTCAGATTCTGATTTCAGGACATTTTTTTTTTCTTCTTTCAAAATTAAAAATATTCTCATCTCAGTACAAAGCAATTAAGGAAAGTGCTACTATATAAATCAAAATAGGCCTATACCAGCTAGTAACCTAGTTTTCACTAGGGAATCTACTTAAGTTATGTAAATTTAAAAACACTTTAAAGGGATTATTAGCTCTATTTTTAAACACTTATTATTTTAGTACAACTTGTACTAAAATAACCCATCCAAATGTTCCAACTTCAAAAAAAATAGTATCTAATAGCAAGTAGTGCAATCAATTTGGCATTCTTTTTAAGGGGAAATAGGCTATTTGTACTGTATGATCCCATTTTCTTCATCTGTTGTGCAGGTTTGAAGGTTTCTACTATAGACATATAGTAGGTTAGTGACCATCCTCCTCAGCAACACAACCTTGCACAAGAGTGTCATGAAAATCTACCAGTCTAAGATATCAAGTCTGCTCTTAAAGCACCTTGACTGTGATAAAGGAAAATATGACTTGGACCCAGATAAGGAGCAAGTAGAATTTTGAAACACTATAAAAAGCAGCAAACTAACAAGTCCAGAACAAAATAAGACTACCATTTGCTGACAGGCAGCCTAAGAGACATTCACAAAGACAAGACTGTGTCAATATTTGTCTCTATACTTAGCAAAATCTATTGCAAGACTGCTGTTTGCATCAGACTAGTGAAACAGCTCCGAGTATACATTTCAAGGGAAATATTTCAACACCTTAGAAGAGCAATAGAACACTGGCAGACCAAGGGGGATGTTATGGTCCTAGCTTATGTACTCAGGCTTCCTCTTCTAAAAGCAATGCATAGTTGTCTGTTCCTATGTTTTCCCTCATTTTTATTTGAGAATTAGATAAGAAAAGTCAACAAACAAAAAATCTCTTCCAAAAATCTCTTGAGTATTCAGACAGGATTGGACTGTGCATGGAGGATATCTGTGGCTTCTGCTTTGATAAACATCCTCAGTTCATATTCACTTCAAAAGGAGAATCTAGCTGATGGTATGAATATTACTCAAGATGGAGTCATATAAACCCATCACTCAATGACGTACTCAATAACAGCCACAAAATAATCCATGAATAGTTTGGCGACTTGCAGACTTTTGAACTGCTTTAGAAAAGTCTTTATAAAGCTTGTCAGTAATACGAGTACAGCATCACCACAGGAGACCAGTAGTATATCAAGGATCAACAAATATCCAAGAACAGGTGTTTTTCAAAAGAAGATTAAAGAAACTCAGCATTAAGCATTAATGGGATAACCTGCCTCCAGGGAAAGTTGCCTCCTAACCCCCAACAGGCAGATGTTGATTTATCCCCTGATATATCAGAGTTAATTAAGAAGTATTTACCATGATGGTGCTGGATACTGTTACTCTTATAAAAATTTAGTCTCTTTTTGATTGCTGCTAAGCTCTTAGCTTCAGGAATATCCTGTGGCAATAAGTTGGGGGGGGGGGGGGGGGGGGTTAGGTGTAGAGGTTCTCAATATGCTTTCCCTGAAGTGTTCATTATTTTGTTCGTGTGTGTCCCTTCTTGAGAGACCTTGGAAAGACAGATTTTTTTCTCTTCAACTTGCTTCACTAACAGTATTTGCCATTTAAGGACCAGCATGCTAATAAGATCAGCAAACATGATCATGTAATTATATATTTTAAACTACAAAAAAAAATAACATTTAACATTTTAAACCATGCACCTTAATGTTTCAAAAGATGAGTCTGATCGTTCTGAATGATAAACAAAAATGAATAAATACTTATTTTGCCTACCCTTGTTTGGCCTCCAGAGCCGGTCCATCCCATGTCTCATTAGCACAATCCTTGCCAGTTCAGTAAAAGACTCTGTAATGTTAAAGTTACAGAGTGGGCTGACTTCAAAAAAAGTCATGCCTATTCTCTCGGCATAGGTTTGTGCTTGTTCAGTAGAGACTTGACGCTTGAAGGCTAAATGAAGGCGATTTCCAACCAGGATTTTAGGTACACCAGGAGCATGCTGAGTAAAGAGAAGCAAGACAGAGATTAGTGTTCTGACCCTTTTCTCTCCCTGAGAGACTGTAAGATGCTAACACAAATGCTCTGTACATGAAATGTGGCACTTGCTAGCGTCAAGAAGGTGACTGACATGATAGCAAGGTAAGCATCTTTATATTAAAAAGAGTTTGGGTCAGAATCAGAGGTAAAGGGGCTGTGCTTCGGTTCTCTGAAAACCAAGTGGAGGTTATGTTTTCTCCTGTCCTTAAAAAGCTTCTATTCCAAAGTTTTCTTTCAGAGTAAAAACATTCTCAGAAGTGAAGTTAGGCTTAAGGAAACAGTTTTACATTAAAATACTGAATGTTCATGGCTAAGTTATAAGGCAGAATTATCTCTTCACACAGACTGACTAAATAGTATTATTATTACAATAATAAAACTTGTAATCCTTGTACAGGCCTTTCTGGTCCATTTGCCAGTCTTTCCTCAAAGAATCCACATTATGACAGGTACCATTTCCATGCAATTTAACAGTTTTTCTACTTTACAGAAATAAACATTTGCATTCCAAATTCTAATATAAAAAACAGTTTAAAGACCTTTAGACTGAAGGCACTATAGAAGTGCTAAGGGTTTCACTAATATTGAGCTCAGGCCCATGGTCCCCATACGAGGAGGGTAAGTATTACTTTTTCATAGGAAACAAGCACAGTGATTTGCCCAGGTAACACAGCAAGCCTTTGGCAAACTTCAGTAAAAGCAGGCCCAGTACTTGGAATCTTAACCACTCTGTGCCTATTCTTTCTGTACCAAACCACTGGGTACTTTGCTGTTTTGTTCCCAGACTTTTAAAAAGTTATGAAACAGAAGCATGATGGGACCCTTGGATTTCTCTGTAATGAATAATGCCTGCAAGTATACAGCATTAACTAGTAATTGGAGAATATAACAAATACATACCAACTGCTACATAAGTGATACTCTAGGATATGCCTTACCTCATCTATCTCTTTTATCCATCGATCAATACCATCAAAGGACCAACGATTTGTAATGTCATATACTAGTATCACCCCCTATGTGAAAAAATATTAAAATGTATTTTAACATTAAAGAGGTATAACACAGAGAAAACCATCTTCTTATGCGAATCCTTGTCAGTCCTGCTCTTATTTCCTTCCCATAAATTCTGCGTGCTTTGTATCCAGGAACATGACTGTATTCAAATTCACATCAGACAGCGAACTAGACAAACCAGTATAATTGTTATTTAGCAACTTTGCATTCACTCAACCATCCACTGGCAACTCTATAGTGTAACGGTAACAAGAATTTTACCTGAGCACCTCTTGAGTAGGAACGAAATATGGTACAGAATCTCCCTTGCCCCGATGTATCCCTAAACAAGAAAAATTATGGGTATATATAAGAAATTGACTCAATTCCTACTTATACCAGTCCAAACTAACTGGTTAGCATTGCCTGCCCTTCCATCAACCAGATAACAGCAGCAACCTATACATGGGTTCTTAAGTTCATTAGCCATTGTATAAAAGAATGATTCAAAGTAGATATCAAACCTGCAGCTACAAGGTTCTTCTTTCTAAATAAACAGTAGGAGACAGACTTCCAAAAGTCTTCTAAATACAACTGAATAAAGAAAGTGTCTCACTTTCTTCTACAGGACCATGAAAAAAGATCCACCTGTGGCTTTTTTCTCAAGGAAACTTGATAGGGAGTTATAAGAGTGACCTGTATGTACTAAAAGATGTCGTACAAGGGATGGCAGGGGGAAAGTTTGTCACCCCCCCCCCTCCCAGTCATAATGTATCAATTATCTTTCACCACCAAGTTCATTTCAACAAGTGTCTGATCCAAAATATTTTGGAAGAAGCCATAACAGTAAAAAAAAAAAAAAGTGAAATAACTTCAAAGTAGTTACGAATTAAAAGTCTTGCTTTAACTAACATACGAGAACTAAAGGCATTTGTACACATGCTTGCGCCACAGCGCTGGGTGCTTTTAAAAGCGCCCAGTGCTGCAGTGCATACATATGTATAAATGGTGAAATGCGCATCAGCGCTGAGAAAATGGTGGCAGTGCACTTTTGAATTAAAACAAAGGTGTTATAGTTCAAAAGCACGTAGCCACCATTTTCTCAGTGCTGGCGTGTCTTTTGCCATTTATACAAACGCGTGTGCTACAGGACTGCGCACATCAGCTCATGGAGCGGATTTGATTGAGTCTGCTCTGACGCGCCAGATCTCCAGTGCATTGGAGCAGATAAATGAATGTGTATAAATGCCTTAAGTCCTTTATATGCTGCTAAAAAATGCCACCAAAATACATTCTGGAATGAGGATGCAAGTCTAAATATAAATCAAGATTAACCTGAGCCATTTCTGTAAAATGGTATATTATAACAATAATTAGTTTTAGCCCCAGTTCTCCAAACCCTCTAAACTCAGGTTGGATGTAGCAGAGAGGTGAAAGCACAAACTCCTGAATTTATGGTACCCCCTTCCCCATCCTTCCTATACCCTACAACTTTCCTTTATGCTGGATATACAAGAAGAAAAATGCTACATCTGCAAGATAATACAGGCTGAGAGGATGGATAATAAGCACCAAGATTCTACCTTAAAAGGCTCCCTAGTTTGGTCTTTGTTTTAATACTGTGACTCCTTAGTCAACTCACCTGTTATCATTAATATATAATCTATCTAGATTACTGCAACATCCAGCTAAGATACTTCTAGGACCACTGTACCAGAGTAGCTCAAATTTTTCTGCATTTATCCTCTGAAAACCCCAGGACATTGGGAAGTGCTACTAGCCCAAGTTTTAGAGATGGAGAACTGAGGCAGAGAGAGATTAAGTGACTCAAGGTCATGAATGACATGTATTGTGGAAATGGGAGATCAAGGTTCAGTATTCAAATCCTGATCTACTGCATTTAACTATTAAGCTACTCTTCCTCTCTTGGCTAGGCACATTCAAGATGCAGGAAACAATTCCTGCCCCGGAGAGTTACAGCCCTCTGAAAAATATTGTTCAACAAGCCAAAGAGAAAGGAATGATGGGATGAACTCACCAGAGCTGTAGTTTTATTCGACGGCCATCTAGAAGTATTGTTGTCGTCTTATAATCAATACCTGGGGGACAATGTTTAAGAGTCAGAATCTCAGATAAACTGCATGATGTATATAGTATGCCAAGATCTCTGCATGCCTAAAGCAAAAGGTGGCAGGAGGGAAAATACATATCATTAGTGGACTAAATACCCGTGTGAAGTATTTTCACTGGATTTGCCATTAAAGGTCCCTCACGCTACATGAGTGTCATCTTCATTCAAGAGCAGACTTTCTAGTCTTTTCCTTAGGGTCTGGAAGGAACCTCAAGGGCCATTTCCTCCAACCCAAAGAAGTGCCATCTCTCCTGTTCATAATCAGTAAATATCCTCACTTCCACAGAGCAGTGAAAACCTGTGCAAAAGATTCATCCTTTATGAGAAAAGGACAAGGGTGGAATTATCCTCTCTCTCTCCTTCCATGCACAGGCTTCCCTGCCACCTTACCCTCCTATTTACCTGCATATGCTGCCCTACAAAATGTTCTTCCTTTTCTGCTCTCTTGGAGAAACTGCCTTGCTTATTTCTCCCCTGGAAATTAGTGTCCCATCGATGCCAAAGGGTGATGGCAATTGTGCTGAGACTGCATACAGGAGGTGTGAAATTGTAGTGATGGTGGTACATACAATACAAACACCAGTCCACTGTTTACTGCACCAAATCTATCAACTCATTCCGTAAGAATGACACATGCTGTCAAACTTTTTTGTTCATTACTAGCTTGAAACCAAGTTGTTTCTGAGTGAAATCTGACTACATACATACTACCTTAGACCCAGCTTTAC